GCCTTTTTCTCTTCTTTCTGCGTATCTGCTGCGATTTTCTTAACGCATGCGTGGTGCTTCCTTTCGCGATAATATTGGGATGCATATTTTCTTCTTTGAGCAATCGCTGCACTTTCTCGCATTTTAGACGATGGTGCGACTCTTGGGAGCGCAATCGTCCTATCATACTCTGGTATAGACCAGCCCGATGAGCGTTGCTGTTTATTGTTTTCGTGCAAACACTTGCTGCTGCTTGTTCAGTGAAAGCGTCTTGTAAAGTTGCAACATCCAGATCTCTTTCGCTGGTCTCCGCTTTTCGCTTCCTTGATGTTTGACGTAGTGGCCAAATTATTGAAGCATAATGTTTGCGAGGCTTCTATGCACTTGAAATTATGTAGGAAAGATAGTTCTCCAAAAAAGTAGGCACGTGCGCAGTCAGGAATAAGTTTTCTGATGCGGAACGCAGGCACACAGTCTTCTTCGCGCATGTGTGTGCTGCATGCATCTGTTGATGTAGGCCTGTCGTTGATGATGAGGTCGTCTCTCGCAATATTCTTTTGTCACTTGGCGCACAGCTCCGTATTGTTTGGGAATTGGTGAGAAGGAGTGCCTGGTGTTTTCCCCGAACGGGACTTGCAATACAGGATACAGCAATACACCTTCTCGCAGCTAATCTATATCCATGTGCGTAATGCGCGCACTGAATGTTGTGCTACTGCCTTCTTGTCCCAAAAAAGTACTGTAGACTAAACACTGACAAAGCACCGAATCAAATGCAGCCCTAGTGGGTAAATTCCAGAATAAAGCAAGCTACGCTAGAGATAAAAGGCAATCCAAAACAACCTGCTTGTAGCAATAAGTCACAAGAGAATTTATACATACTTTTTCAGAAAAAAAGCTGCTTCCTTGCCGAAAAGTTGTAATGTTGTCGATTTCTATTTCTAAACATGTTGCTCTATGAACTAGAAAGGTTGCGCAGCACTGCAGTTTTAGCTCCGAGGCAAGCGGCTTGCGAGCGTAGGCAGCTGCATTCTTCGTTCGCATTATTCATGGACGTGGATTGCAGTAGAAAGGAACGTAAATGGGCTTGGGGTCTCCGGAATCAATATTTCTAGGTGATGTTAACACCTTGACAATGCACATTACCACTCTCTGTGCGTGCCGTCCGAAGACGTTATTCAGCAGCAAGGGTCCTCTCTCTCTTTTTTTTTACTTCTCTCTTCCTATACGCAGTTTTTTAGCCATTAGATATACAACACACGTACGCGTTTGAAAGAGCTGTTTCGCTACAGACAGTAGCTATTAGCCCTGAAAACACTCCAAATGCATTCGTAAAAATAAAGAAAAGAGAAAATAGTTAGGAAAGGGAAGACGCGCTCGTCATTCTGCGAGTGACCTCTCTCGATTGCAATGTTTTCCGACGAGACCAAGAGCCAAAGGTGTATAGTGCTGTCTTATTGCAGAACAGCTGCAGTATTGTTCTTCTATCTCTCTGTTCATTGCCAGTGCATTATGCATTCTGAATTATGCCTCTCATTGGCCGATTCTTCTGTATTTTCACCGTGTTTTAGCTTTTAATATCCACGAACACATACATACTTAAATTAAGCGGGAGGTCGTCTGGTAAGATTACAACAATACTCCCTCTATCCTCAATTTTTTATTAGTCCCCCCCCCCTCATCGTCGTGAACCCCCATTCGATGATTTCACATAGACAAATCCCTCGTTCCATGCGCGTGGCGCAGAACATGCAAGGTCAGGGTCGCTGCGCTTCTACCGCCAACGGGTGGCGAAACGTACTTAGAAACTCCCCCATTGTATTCGCGACGGGTGCAGCCTAGGCCGACCGTGCATCACCTTCTCTAGTTCACGACGTCGTCACTAGACGCGGCCATTTGTAAAAAATGCATTAATTTCATTTTTTTTCCGTTATTCCAGCCTGGAATGAAATTATCAGGTTCAGGGCTCAATGCTTGAATTGGGCTGAATACATTGGCGGCAAAACTTTTATTCAATATCCCTTGAAGACTTAGCTTTATTGCCAACTTTCCTGCGGTTTAACGTCACTAAATTTGCAATATATGGGGCTATGCTCAAGTAATGTACAGTTACTCACCCAAATGATACCCAAACCTTCGCCATATGGTCATCGTTCACTTCGTGGAGATGCGTGGATTTTTATTCGGCAGATATTTCGCACAAAAAAAGGATGTCCGGAAACAATATAGCTCTGCATTGCGTTATATAAATTTCTTATATGGCAAGACAGAAGGTAGCACGAATACCCAATCAAAAAATTTCTTAACACTATGCGTAGGCTTACAAACATCTTCGGTGGCGGTCATGATTGTAGAGTTTGCTTTGGCGTATGGCTTAGCAGAATGTGTTGACCCTGTACCGGTTTTCACGTGCATAAGTATATGGCCGCGGCCGCAAGGTTGTCCCATTCGCAGATTTCACACCGATATAAGAAAAAAAGGAAAATTATACAAAACATGAAGTAATGCCATTCAACTTTAGGAATATTGCATGATAAATTAGCTCAATATACTATTTTTTATTGAGACTTGCTAAAAAAGCTTTACTCTACAAATATTCAATGAACGTGTAGCCAGGTCGTGATCTCGTGGCATATCTGCTCGAAAGTGTGTCAAATATTATGATTACATATCATTACAGGCAATTCTTTGAAGAAACAGAACTTTTATACATGGTATTGATGCGGCAGTGCACAAAAGACAGAGCATCACACACATAACCAAGATGCGAACACAAACGCTGGGGGGCTCTTTAGGATAGGCCTAGTTTGGCGAACCTCGAAATTCTTCGGGCTTTGGCGACAAGGTCAAATCTATGCCCCAGCGTGTGCAGCGTGCCATTGGTTACGACAGAACGCGGCGTCACGTCAGTCACGGTCGACAAAGCTGGGCGAGGTTTTCAAACCAGAAGCATCTCCTTTCATTTGTTTTTTCGTTGCAACTATAGTCCAGAAGTGCACTAATCTTTTCTTCGACCTAAACTAACATCTTTCTAGCATTACCCCTTCCCCCTTTTTTTTCGAAAATTGGACTGCCACGCGATTCATGGCCAATCTCCTGTGGTGGGTACCACCACTCCTCTTGAGTCCAACCAGCCAGCGTGTCGACGCGGGTGCTGGAAGAATTGTTTGAAGCGAAACTCGGTTTATCATTTACTGGAGTAAACGTTTGTTTGAAACGCAAAGACACGGGAGCAGGGACGCGTTGAAGAAGCTTTCGCTTGGCTTCCTCGGCTCGCGTCTCGTCAGTGTTATCCGCGTACCGTCTCTGCTACGTCATGCAAGCGTGTCGCCAATCATGTCATGACGTCATCGCCATCGCCGAGCACATAAAAGCGAGACACGCAAAATAAACGACTTTGGTTCTTGCTTGGTTACTGAGCCGTTCACTCGCGACGTAACAGTGGCAACGAGGCATAAATCGCCGCGGTGGGAGGAGGCTTTGAAGCGCGGCTGCTGAAACAGGCAGCGATGGCGCCGGGACAGGCGCCTGCATTCACGGAAGAAGAAGGAGGCTGGTCCGCCTACCAGGTATGCTTGGAAGCATACTTTCAAGCACAGGAAATCACAAACGAGGCAAAACAACGAGCCCTGCTGGTGGCGGCTCTGTCCAATGGTGCCGTCAAAGTACTTCAGGGACGATGCCACCCCAAAAGCGTGAACAACCTCACCTACAGCAATGTCATCAAGCATCTGCAGAGCCACTACGAGCCGCAGGTCAACGAAACAGCAGCCAGCTACCAATTCTTCACGCGCACACAGGCAGAAGGTGAGCGAGTGCGGGATTTTATAGCCGTCCTTCGCCGCATGGCCGAAGACTGCAATTTCGGCGACATGTTGCACCGCATGCTGTGGGACCGCATTGTATGTGGTGTTCGAGACGACGACGTAAGACGTCTTTTGTTGACCCGCGGTTCCCTGACTTTGAAGGAAGCAGAAGACTACGTAATGGCTGCTGAGGCCGCCGCGGAAAACGCGCAGCACATGCAGCCATTGCCCTCCCCGGTAGCCGACACAACAAATTTTGTCCGGCCGGGCCTCTCACGTTCGAAGTCGAAGAAAGCAAGTAGGCTATCTCGCGATGAGCATCAGCCTTGCACCCGCTGTGGTGCATTCTCGCACCAAGCAGATGATTGTCGTCATCTCCGAACATTGTGCCATCGATGCCGGAAACTCGGCCACTTGGCACGAGTGTGTAGAGCGTCGGACGAAGACACTAATCGGAGGCAACAAGCGAACGCCCTTTCGCAAGACCCACAAGAGAGTTCGGATGACTGCGAAGCTTTATACACGATGACTGCGCATCAAGTGACGGACAGCGTGCACGTAAATGCTATTTTGCGCCAGATAAGTTGGAACGGAGTGCCACTCACGATGTTGGTAGACACGGGTTCACCTGTGAGTGTTATTACGCGGTCAGTGTTCGAGCGACACCGAGGCAAATGGCCACGTTGGCAAGCCACAACAATGAAGCTGTCGTGTTTCAAGGGCCCACATCCTATCAACAGAAAATTGCAACTCAATGCGACCATGAGTGGCGCGACAATGCAGGCCGGACTTTTCGTCATCGACTGTCCGGGACCGATGCTTTGTGGCCGTGACACTATCCGCAGCTTCAATTCGGCAGGCGTGCCGGTACTCACTGGAAACGAGGTGGCGTGTGTGCAGGCGGAAAATGCGGACAGAATGGTGGAAACCATGCTATCAAAGTACAGTGATGTCTTTGCTCCGGGTTTGGGTTTGCTCCGAGGGCCACCGGTACACCTGACCGTCAAAGAAGGCGCAAGACTCCGGTTTTGTAAGACACGGAGACGGTGCCGTATGCGCTCAAAGAAATGGTATCAGCAGAGTTAGATCGGCTGGTTGATTGATTGATTGATTTGTGGGGTTTAACGTCCCAAAACCACCATATGATTATGAGAGACGCCGTAGTGGAGGACTCCGGAATATTCGACCACCTGGGGTTCTTTAACGTGCGCCCAAATGTTAGATCGGCTGGTAAACGAAGGGGTGTTATCACCGGTAACATCGGCCGAATGGGCCACACCCGTGGTGCCCGTAGTCAAGAAAGATGGACAGGTGCGATTATGCGGCGACTTCCGGCTTACGGTGAACGCAGCCACCATAATGGAGCAATATCCGCTGCCGCGGGTTGACAATATCTTTGCGAACCTCAACGGCGGAGAAGTTTTCAGCACATTGGACTTGAGAAACGCCTATAATCAGCTGCCCCTTGATGAGGACTCGAAGAGGCTAGTCGTTTTTAACACGCACAAGGGTCTCTACTGTTTCAACAGGCTGCCGTTCGGAGTGTCGTCAGCGCCAGCAATCTTCCAGCGGCGCTTAGAGGCCGTGCTCAGCAGGATCCCCGGCGTGCAGGTATATCTGGACGACATAATTGTATCGGAAAAGGCAAACGACTGCAGGATCCTGGAGCAAGTGCTACAGCGGCTGAGGGAACACGGCCTGCGCCTACGACGGGAGAAATGCAAGTTCAGGCAAGAGCAAGTCACCTTTCTCGGACACTGCATCGACAGACACGGCCTACGCCCCAAAAGCGACAACATCACGGCACTGCTCGACGCCCCCCAGCCCACTTCGGTAAGAGAACTGAAAGCTTTTTTAGGTCTGTTAAATTACTACGGCAAGTTTTTGTCCAGTGTGTCGACCTTACTAGCACCCTTATACGCATTGTTGGCAAAGGGCGTAAAATGGGTCTGGGGCAGACAACAGCAGAATGCTTTCGAGGCAGCTAAACAAGCAGTGAAGAATGCAAAACTTTTGGTGCATTTTGACCCAAGCAAGTCCATTCGCCTAGAGTGTGACGCGTCAGCAGTAGGCCTGGGAGCAGTGTTGTCGCATCGAGTCGGAGGAATTGACTACCCTATCGCATTCAGGTTACGAACATTAGGAAAGGCCGAGAAAAATTATTCTCAGTTGGAAAAGGAGGCCCTCGCCCTCGTATTTGGCGTGACCAGGTTCAGAGACTATCTGTATGGCACCCACTTCGAACTAGTAACCGACTACAAACCGTTAACCGGACTGTTCAGTCCAGACAAGGGAATTCCGCCGATGGCCGCTGCCCGCATTCAGCGTTGGGCCCTGCTGTTGGGTGGATATCGGTACAGCCTAACCTATCGTAAAGGATCTGAAAACGTAAACGCAGATGCCTTCAGCCGACTCCCTATTCCGCGGGAGCAGCTCGATAACGTAAAAGACGACGCTCCCGAGTATGTATTATACGCTGAAGCTGTGAACGCGGCACCCATCAGTGCCAAAGAGTTGGCGGTTCTAACCATCCGTGATGCTATGTTACAGCAGGTGCAAAAGTGGATCCTGCAGGGCTGGCCACAGTACCTGACAGAGTCAGAGGAGCGATTCCGGCCGTTCTTCCAGAAAAAGGATGAGCTGACGGTGAATCAGGACCTCATTTATTGGGGACATAGAATAGTAGTGCCATCAGCGGCTGCTGGGAGTCTTTTGAGGCTTTTACATGAAACACATCCAGGGATGGCGGCAATGAAAAACCTTGCTCGATACATTTTTTGGTATCCAGGGCTGGATGCCGACATCGAAAGGATGGTACGCGAATGTGAGAGGTGTGCTCAAACGAGTACGATGCCTCCAGCGCAGGTTCCGGCGCCATGGCCAGAAACGGGCCGGAAATGGTCTCGAGTGCACATCGACTACGCAGGCCCCGTCGAAGGACACATGCTACTGGTGGTCGTAGATGCTGAAACAAAGTGGCTGGAGGCCATATCGAAGCGGAGTACGACATCAGAAGCCACCGTGGAAGCGTTGAGGCCCATATTTGCCAGGTTCGGACTGCCACATACACTTGTTTCAGATAATGGGCCACAGTTCGTCTCAGCCGAGTTTCAGAAGTTCGTAAGAATGAACGGGATCAACCACGTGATGACGGCGCCTTACCACCCGCAGTCAAATGGCCTGGCGGAACGCGCGGTTCGCATGATCAAGGAATGCCTTCGAAAAAGCCAAGGGGGTGGCACATTCATTAAACGTCTCAGTCAGTTTTTATGCCGATACCGACGGACACCGGCAAAGGCTGGGAAGTCTCCGTCCGAACTACTGCTGGGTTATCAGCTACGGACCAGGCTAGACTGTTGCCTCCCGAGTGCAGGCGGGGAACCGCGTCTTGAAGGGTGCTCCTCCACCATGCCGTTCTGTGAAGAAGAGCCGGTGTGGCTGAGAAGTTTCCTCAGCCGGCCAAAATGGTTGCCGGGAGTGGTCACCAGTACCCAAGGGGCTCGGATGGCGACTGTGTCTACGTCGGACGGCGAGCAACGTCGTCATGCGAACCAACTGCGGCTGCGCACTCCGAAGGACTCGAACACGACGCAGCCAGGGGGCGCTACAACATCCACCACCACCGCTAACGAAACCTCGCCGATGCCAGCCGGCATGGCTGACCCCACGCCGGCGGTGTCGTCGCCCTCTAGCCAACCTGAGGCACCGCCGCCGCTTCGCCGGTCCAACAGGCTACGGCGACAACCTCAAAGGTTGAACTGGTAAAAGGGGGAGATGTGCTACGTCATGCAAGCGTGTCGACAATCATGTCACGACGTCATCGCCATCGCCGAGCACATAAAAGCGAGGCACGCAAAATAAACGACTTTGGTTCTTGCTTGGTTACTGAGCCGTTCACTCGCGACGTAACAGTCTCTATTTTTGAACGCAATCGGCGTTCTTGACTCACACCTCGTCGGGGTCATTGGTCTTGCAGAGCCGACGCTTGCGTTCGGCTTCAATGGCTCACGCCCCATCAGTGTTCCAGACGTGATGTCGTTATTCGCGAACGCGATCGGCTTCGCTAACCCGCAACGCTGGCGATGGCTGGGAAAGGTATGCGCACACTATAGCGGGAAGCATGCCCCTGCGGCGTCTCCCCCCCCGTCAGCGTGACCGCGCGGCAAGCAGCGGCGCGCTGTGCATATTGTGTGTGAGTGATATTAAACGAAAAAAAGGGAGATCTCTTGTACAGTGGGAATCGATGACATGCGAAGCACGAATAAGAAATGTTATGTCACTTTAAAATCAGCACAACGTTACGAGATGGAGGTAAATGATGCCTTACATGACTTCCGTGTCATGATTATCATGTTTAGATGTGTCGTTTACATTCGTCATCTATTGACGTCCCGTGATACCAAATTTAGTATATGTTTAGCTAGCAAAACGGCCACGAGCACGCTATGGGCGTGGTATCTTGTCATGTTCGTATACATGACACTCGTGTCAGGATTATCAAGTTTGCACCAGTCATATATTTCACCATTCATTGACGTCATGTAACACAAAATTTAGTTTAAGTGGAGCTAGCAAAAATGCCTTGAGCGCATCATGAAGGGCCCAATATACTCCAATGCAGCGTTGATGCGCGCGCACGCTGGGCACAGCGACGCTACGTTTGCGAAACGCGAGCACTCTAGTCCGACGCCAGGTGCGATTTACGCGACCAGCGTCCGTCGGCGCGGCCCGACGGTAACCGGTGCGAAATGCGACATGCTGCATTTCACGCCGATGGGTTACCCAGACAACACTGCATCTCCCTCTTTTCGTGACGGAGGGACACCGGAAGTGCTGAAACGCGCATGCGTCAAAGCAACGCAGCTTGGCGCGCGCCTTCGAGCATATGGCAGGATCGGCGCCTGGCGTGGCAACGCCGGCGTGACGCGACGAATTGAACGCGGGTGAGCACGCACACCGCGTCATGTTGAAACATATTGGCATCTAAACGGTGACATGTAGTGATGTTCTCACATGACACGCATCTCATGAATATCATGTTTGCACCAGTCACATACCTTCGTCATTCATTGGCGTCGCGTAGTACCGAGTGTGGTACATGTGAAGATAGCGAAACGGCTGGGAGCGCACCATGAGCGTAGCTTGTACTCATGTTGTTACATGACACGCATCTCATGTTTATCATGTTTGCACCAGTATCAGACTTTCCTTATAAATTCACGTCGCGTAATACCAAATTTAGTGCAAAATAACAGAAACAAAATCGCCGTCCAAGGTGAAATACACAAAACTTAAAAAGACGTTTCGGCTCCCCACACAGCAGCCTTGTTCACAGTGACCGTTTTGTGGTCACTGTGAACAAGCAATGAGGCTGTGAACAAGCAATGAGGCTTTGGCAATGAGGCTGGACGTACACTTCACCATGAATTCACTTAAAAGAATTGGGAAACTTCATTTGTATGTAGAAAAATAAAAAAATTCGATGTCTCACGTTTGTCTTTCGTTGTTGCCGTGACTGTAAAAGCAGTTACACATAGGTGGCTAACTACTTTTTCGCGTGTTCTTTTCTGCAGGATTTGCTGCCCACTGCACAGAAAAACAGGCGAAAAAAGTATTAGGCCTGGCGGAAAATAAACAAAAAAACAATGTTTGAACTGGGGACAAAAAGTTCATCCGATTGGAGTATTTAAGTGGATCAACCGTTCATCCGGCAAGATGCAACTGTGAGGACTAACGGTTGCCCGGTAAAGTGTAAATGTGGGTATTAACAGTTGCTCGATGAAGTGCAAATGTGAGGACTAAATGTTAGTTCTCTGGGGTGAACTGTGAGACTAACGGTTACTCCACAATGTGTTAGTGTGAAGACTAAATGCGAGTCCCTTGAGGGGACTATCTGTTAGACCTGGTGCCGTTAGTCCTTAAAGGGATTATTGGTTGTGGCAGCCCCATTAGCCCCAAAAGGATGAAGCACACACCCTTTTAACACCCTTTTGCCTTAGTGTGTGCAATAGCTTTCTGTATGAGGGAGGGGAAAGCTATTTGCTACGATGGCTTTGTTTACCTGTCGAAGATATACACAAAGGCGGATACCTCCATCTTTCTTTTCAACCACAACAATGGGGGACACCCACTCGGATGCCTCTATTCGCTCTATCACGTCAATTTTTTCCCAAGTGGTGCAGCTCTTCCGAGACTCGTGACCGCAGTGAGCACGGAAGGCACCTGAGTTTTGAAGCAACTGGCTGAACTGTCGACCGTGTTTTGACGCGATGAACAAAACGCTTTGCGATGCAAAGTGCTGGATCAAAAGTAGCACCAGTTTCTTCGACTAATTCTGATGGAAGGTGAATGAACTCCTCCGCTTCCGTCATGACTGCGGTGTGCTTCGTTTGAGCGCTAGTACGCACCGCTGTCGTTTCAAGGCACTGTAGTGACGACCCATTAATCTGCAGACTGAGCGCCCTAATTGCATCGATACCCAAAAGCGAGGTGCCTTGTTCCACGACATAAAAAAGAAGCGTTGTTGTGCAGTTATTGTACGTGACATCAGCAAAGAAGCAACCGCACACTGGAATGGGTTTCTTCGAATAGTTCAGTAGTCTAATTCGAGCAGATGAAAGCTGCTGACCTTCAAAATGCTGCCTAAATAGGTCATGCGTCAAAATCGATACTGATAACCCTGAATCCACGAGGAAAGTTAACTTCGTTTCACCAACTGCTACCGATACGTAGATTGCAGGTTGAGTGCATGTCGTCACGGCAAGAATGCTCAATACTTCTTCAGTTATCGAACTTTCGTCGTCCAATTCACGAACAGGAGCGGCGTTTCTGTTGCAGACCGAGCGAAAATAACCCATAATACCGCAACCATGACACCACTTGTTTTTGGCGGGGCAGCGAAATGAAGATGCGTTGTGCCGAGGTGAACCGCAGCGGTAACACTGGCCCTGTTGGCTGTGCGACCGCTTCGAGGGGTCGCTGGCAGAAGATGCGGGTAGAGGGGTGTCTCCGCGAGCATTTATGCTCTGGACATCTGCAGTAGCAAATTATTTGCAATCAATGGTTGCCTGCTCAAACTGCGTCGCTATTAGTACAGCTCGAGCGAACGAAAGAAAAGAGCCTTCAAGCAGCAACTGCTCGCGCAAGTTCCGAGATATAACGCCCGCAACGAACTGGTCACGCAAGGAGTCTTCCTGAGAAGGAAAAGAGCACGTAGCAGAAAGCTCACGTAATGCGGTAATGTACAGTGTTGAGCACTGTTAGGGTTAACACGCGAGCGCGTGGCCGACGGCACTGTCAGCGCCCCGTTACTGTCATCACTAGAAACATTGCGCATGCGCATCACGCCTTCCGCGAAATAATTGTTCCACCGCGCGCGTGACGTCATGAATGCACTTGTTCGTCGTCTGCTAGCTGCATTTTTGTTTTCTAAGCCCATGCATCCTGCATTCTAGGATTCCTTTAAACATCTGTGCTTGAACAGAACAAGACAAAAACTTGTATATATGTGGGGGCGTTTCTATTCGTCCTCTTCAAAGTTGTTGTGCATGCAACGCCATGTATAAAGCAACCAACATCTTTTTGAGCCGTTAATTCTGTCGCCAGATCGTATTATGGCTAGGGTTCCTGATGATGAACGGCGCTCAATTGTCGATCTTTCCCCGAAAGGTTATTACCAGCGGTATATTGGCGCTTTAGGTAATAGGCCCCTGAAGACTGTGAACAGCATAATTCAAGCCTACAAGTTTGAAGGTCGCATTCAGGATGCAGCACCCCGCACTAAAGCTACCACAGACGACAAAGACGCCCTCATAGTTGCAGCTGCTGTTCGTAACCCTTTCTTGCCAGGCCCAGCAATACGCGAGGACTTGGGTTCGGACGTTTCGGACACCACTGTTCGATGTCGCCTGCGTACTGCGGGCATTCTCAGTCGCGTCGCAGCGCAGAAGCCACTACTAACGGTGACACACAAGGAAGCACGACAGCAGTACGCTGAGTTGCACGAAGCATGGACATCAGAAGAGTGGGGTCACGTCATTTTTTCGGATGAGTCGACGTTTTCGACGTGACAAGGCCAATGATTGTGTGTTCAGAGACTACCAGGCACACGGTGAGGCAAACTTCCTGCATTGAAAAGCAATTGTTTTAGTTAACGTCAAAATGCCACGCAGGAACGACCCAGACAACGTAGGAGGTGTTTCTGCCAGTGGGAGATCGAGTATGAGCGTGTGGGGTGCTGTTTCAGGATATGGTTTAGGGCCCCTGCAACGTATACGTGGACACTTATCGTCGGAACAATACTGCAACTTTTTGAACAATGTGCTGTTGTCATGTGCGAGCAGTTTATTCCCAGACGGTGACTACCTGTTCCAACAGGACCAGTCACCGTTACGCACGGCGCGGGCTGTCAAGGAGTTCCAGGCGGAACAGCACATGCAGCAACTGGAATGGCCTCCGAAAGGAGCGGACCTGAATGTGATAGAAAACGTGTGGGGCCGTCTGAAAGCTTCTTTGGCAAGGAAGCCCCTTTATTCTGCGAATTCTGACCAGTTGTGGATGCAAGTCAGCAACGAGTGGGAAAGACTGAAAGCCGATCGGTAATATGTTCGATCACTTTACGACTCGTTACCGTCCAGAATAGCTGCAGTCGTTGCTGTAAGCGGTCACATGACTCGCTATTAGATTTGCTCATGTTTTTATATTTGGTCTCATGGTCTTGTTTAACATTAATTGCAAAAGGGCAATTTTCTTGAATAAAAAGTTTA